CAAGGTGCTACATCCTAGGACCTCTGGCTGCCACTTGGACATCTCTGCCACGCCCCCTCTCACTCGCAGGGCTCCAGAGGGTTCAAACCTCTGAGCTGCTCCTGCCAAAATCCAAAGGGACTTTGCACTTGCTGGAAGTCCCTCTCCCTGAAATGCTTATTCTCCCAGGATTTTCACATCTCATGCCTTCATTGTCTCTCCCCTTCTCAGAGGGGCCTTCCTGAGCCCTCCTATCTAGAGAAGCACCCCTACCCCTGCCCCATCTTTCTCTATCACAGGCACCAAGCGTATCACATCATGTATATCACACAGTGAGTTTATTGTCCGTCTCTTTCCCTGGAATGTAAAACTCCACAAGGACTTCTGTTTTGTGTCCCCAGTGTCTGGAACTGTGCCTGGCACATAGTTGATGGATAATAAATATTTATTGAATAGGCCGGGCTCGGTGGCTCAATCCTGTAATCCCATCTCTTTGGGAGGCCGAGGCGAGAGGATTGCCTGAGCCTCGGGGTACTTGGTGAGACCTCATCTCTACAATAAATGAAAAGAAAAATTAGCCAGGTGTGGTAGTGCGCATCTGTAGTTCCAGATAATTGGAAGGCTGAGGTGGAAGGATCACCTGAGCCCAGCAGGTTGACACTGGGGTGGGTGTGAGCGTGCCGCTGCACTCCAGCCTGGGCAACAGAGTGAGACTCCAACTCAAAAAACAACAACAGCAACAACAATTAAAACAACCAAAACTACAAAAATAAATATTTGTTGAATAAATGAGGGCAGGGCCCAACTCCTTCATTTACCTGGATAATCTTAGGCAAGCATCTTACCATTTCTGAGCCTCAGTTTCCTTGTCTGTACAATGGGGATAATACTTCTGACACTGGGATGTCCCCAGGCCATCGTGTCCATGAAAGTGTGTTGACAGGTGGAAAGCAGTCTTTGACTATGACAGACTGTTATGGCAACTGGCTGAAAAGAGTTCCACAGAGTCCTGCCTCTACCACCCCATGTCTGTATGACCTTTGCCTAGTTGCTTCATATCTCTGTGCCTCTGTTCACTTTGGATTAAACGGGGAGAAAAAAATTCTTGCCGGACATGAGAGGATCACAGGACCTGCTAAATGTAAAGAACTTTGAAAACCAGGGAGCAAGTATGGTGCCCAGGCTTGAGGTTGTGAGTGTGTGCCAGGTCTCTGAGTCTGACTGAGACTCATGCTCTGTGGCTCTAAATGTCAGAGGTGACCCGAGGACACCAGAAAGTGCTCCAGTGTGTTCTTCAGTGCTTGTTTCTGAGCTGTGACTTGCCTCAACTATTATTGGTCGGAACGGTGGGGTGACAATGTCAGTATAACATGGCATTGCGCCGGTTCAGTAGTGATTTTTCCAGCATGTGAATGGTTGGAGATTCCTCACAATTAAAGATCAAGCCTCAACAATGCATGGCTTCCTTAAGATAAATGCTAGCCGAGCTCGGTGGCTCAGCTTGTAATCCCACGCCTTTGGGAGGCTGAGGTGAGTGGATTACCTGAGCCCGTGGGTTCGAGACCCGCCTGGGCAGCGAGACCTCATCTCTACAATAAATAAAAAAATCAGCCAGGCGTGCTAGCGCATGCCTGTAATTCTGGCCACTTGGAAGGCTGAGGCGGAAGGATCGCCGGAGCCCAGCAGGTTGAGGCTGCGGTTGGCCGGGAGCGGCCACTGCACTCCAGTCTGGGTGACAGAGTGAGATCCAACTCAAAAAAACAAACAAACTAGGAATCAAATGAAGAAATTGCAAAGACATATCCCTGTATTTAAAAAAAAATTGATTGAAGAAGATAACTTCCCTTCAGGTCAGATTATTCATTTTGGCAAATCTGGTATCTATGGGCATCAAATGTCTGCAAGGATCCCCATCTTGAAGGAGGAAGCTGCTAAGTACTGTCAGAGGTGTCGGCTACAACTGTCAATGGAGAGTTAACAGTGCTAGTGTTTTCCATTAGGGTTGGTCTTGTTTTGTGTGAGTTCTGGTGATAAAGTTGCTTATGTTTATATGTTTTGAGTAGTCTGTCCTACAGCTCACCACAGCCTCGACCTCCTGGGCTCAGATGATCCATCTGCCTCCACCTCCCAAGTAGCTGGGACCACAGCACCGCACCATCATGCCTAGCTAATATTTTGATGTTTTTTTTTTTTTTTAATAGAGACAGGATCTCACAGTGTTGCCCAGGATAGTCATGAACTACTGGGCTCAAGCAATCCTCTCACCTTGGCTTCCCAAAGTGCTGGAATTACAGGTACAAGCCACTACACTCAACCCTTTATCTTTTTTTTTGGGTGGGGTTGGAGACTCACTGTTGCCCAAGCTGGAGTTCAGTGGCACGCTCTCAGCCACTGCAGCTTCGACTTGCTGAGCTCAGGTGATCCTTCCGCCCTGACTTTCCAATTAGCTGGAAACATGGGCATGTGCCACCATACCTGGCTACCCTTGTCTTTTTAATGAATGATTTTGCAAAAAGGCCCAATTTTTTCAGGGCTACATGTGTCTCTTTGTGGTGGAAATGCCTGCATTTGTTCACCCGTAGGAAGTCTTTTCTCGCTGGGGAGCCTTTGTGTCACATCGTAGGAGGCTGGAAACATTGTAGGCAGTGGCTGCTTTTCTGCTCTAGGAGGCTCTGGTGCCCAGAGACAGGGTGGGCCCGGACATCCCACGCAGCATCAACAAATCCTCACTCCTGTTCCCTCCTGGTTCAAAACGTGGACACTGAAGGACAGGAAAATAAATTAATTCCTACAATGGTTTGCTCAGTGCTGGGCACTGGACTGTGTTCTTTATAGTTGTCTCCCTGAATTTGGCATTACGGTTCCAGGTTTGGAGCTGGAGTGGGTTCAAATCCTAGCTCTGCCATTTCCCAGCTGGATTGCACCCAGTAAAATATTACTTACCATTATTGTTCCAGTTTTGAAAATGGGAACATTGAAACCTTCCCTCCCCTCCCCATCCCCTTTCCTTCCCCTTCCTTCCTCTTTCTTTTTCCTGTTCCCTCTCCTTCTGGTTCCTGTACACAGACACTCATAAGACTACATACTTGTAATCATAGCTGAGTAGAAATTGTGTGTTCTGCTTTGTTTGCTTTAAATTACACCCTAAGAATTCTTCCCTGCTGCTACCTGATACATGAATCGTAGTTTATATTTGCAAATACCTGCTGTCATTCTGGTCTTGTTGCTCCTGGGTCCTGGTCCACTCATCCCCTTGAGGTATATCTCTAAGATGTGAATTGATCCTGTGACTTCTTTACTTAAAACCGTCATTGACAGTCCAGGACCTCTGGGACAAAGGACAGGCCTTCCAGAACAGACACCCAAAGCATCTAGACACCTGCCTTGGTGACCCCCTCATCCCCTCTTCTCTATAGCAGTTGAAGTCTTGGCAGGAAGGAGAATTCAACCCAGAGGTTTCCGGTAGAGAGCCTTTAGTGGAGGGATGATTTCTACAGAGTAGGGTGAAGGGGATCAAATGAGGAAGTTGAGGACACTATACCAGAGGCACTGGAGTGGGAGGGAGCAGGGACGAAATACCCTGTCTTCCCTCTCCCCCATCACCTGTAAGTGCCTCCCATTGGGCTGAATCCTGCTGGAAGCCAGAGGACCAGGGGACCCAGGACAAGTGACCCACAGGGATCGATGCATGGCAGAGAAGGGTGGACAACGCACCTGAGGATGTGGGAGCCAAATGGAGGATATGTAGCATCCCCGCCCCCACGTGCTCTTGCTGGCCTCTGCACCTCTTTGGTGACTGTACCCCACTGGGAAAACCTGTCAGTCCCTTTTCACCTGGCCGACTCCTGTGCTTTCATTCTCCTTTTCTGTACTCTTCACTCACCACACAGCATCATGACTGCTGTCCCCTCCCTAGACCAGGTTCCTCTAAGGGGTGACCAACTCTCAGTTGTTGAGAGTGCTCAGTAAATGGTGGGTGAGAAGGGATTAGGGCACCATGAATGAGGCACTGGGTTTGGGTGTGACATTGAAGTAGGGGAGGAAGGGGGTTTGCCAAAAAAAAAAAATCTCAGTTAACAAGACATATTTTAGCATAATATAAAAAAATCAAATCAACACACTACAGCCCATAGGTCAACTGTCTATTTTGTGTGTCCCCCCAGGTGCTCTAACATGGTGTTAAACATTTTTTTTTGACCTTAACTCAGAGTGAGCCCCTACCTTACCCCCCATGGACATTTCTAAACTTAAACAAAAATTTTACAGAGTAGGACTTTTTTTTTTTTTTTGAGTTGAAGTCCCACTCTGTTGCCCAGACTGGAGTGCAGTGGCATGTTCCCGGCCACCACAGCCTTGACCCGCTGGGCTCCAGCGATCCTTCTACCTCCGCCTTCAAGTAGCTGGGACTATAGGCGTGCATTACCACGCTCAGATAATTTTTGATTTATTGTAGAGATGAGGTCTCGCTAAGTTGTCCAGGTGGGTCTCGAACCCACAGACTCAGGCAATTCACTCGTCTCGGCCTCCCAAAGTGCTGGGATTATAGGCTGAGCCACCGAGCCTGGCCGACTTCTTCACTAAACTTGCACTGCACTCTGATATTTTCTGTTCTAGTCTAGTCTATTTGGTTTCGTTAAAAGAATAGTGCTCACAACCTCTCAAATTCAAACCCGTGGCTTGAAAAACACTGCTGCTGTCATATCATCATGCTTAATTTTCTCCAAGATCTGTTTTGCTGCCTCCCAATTCCTTCTTGGGATTTGTCTGTTTCCATATTGCCCATCTTGCCTGCGGGACGTGGCCCTCTGAGAGCAGGACTTCGTCCAGGTTCTCACTGCTGTCTTCTTGGCTCTGGGACATGTGGAAGGTACTCTGCAAATGCGCTTTTCAGTCTGATGGCGTGGAGGTCCCTAGCTCTGCTGCGGGGTTTCTCTAATTGGTGTGTTTCCCTCCTCTTCCCAGTTTGCCCTGGGGCCCAGCCTTGCCTAGGACACCCTGGTGCTGCAGCCTCGTAGAACGCAATGGGCCTCCTGCTCCTGGTCCCGCTGCTTCTGCTGCCTGGCATCTCTGGACTGCCCTTCTACAATGGCTTCTACTACTCCAATGGCCGGAGCCCGGGCAATGGCCATGGTGAAGGTGGGTGGCCTCTTGTGCTCAGCTCTTTGCTTTGCTGGGTGACCAAGACCTCCCCTGGTTCCTGCTGAGAGAGGCAGGTTTCAGGTTGGGATGGGGGACAGGGTGTGATGCAGCAGCCCTTTTGCATCTAGACCCTCGGAGTGACCCAGCCATGCTCCTAAGATGAGATGCTTTAGTTACCCTGTGTTTATCAGTCCCTTAGACACGGAGCTAGAGTCTCTTAGTCTTTTTATACTTTCCCCAAAGTCCTCCCAAATTTTCACGATCCAGCTTCAGTGTGACTTTCCTTGGTCTCCCTAGAGGAAAGGAGGATTGGAGTTAAACAAACACAGGTTTGGAGCCGGGCTCGGTGGCTCAGCCTATAATCCCGCGCCTTTGGGAGGCTGAGGTGAGTGGATTGCCTGAGCCTGCGGGTTCGAGACCTGCCTGGGCAGCGAGACCTCATCTCTACAATAAATCAAAAAATCAGCC